AGCTTTGCGGCCCCTGCGCTGCGGCGCGGGGACCGGGGCGTTGAGCGGCTCGCGCGGCAGCATGAGGTAGGCCAGCGGAATGCATGCAACTGGCAGCAAGCACTGGGACAGCAAAATCAAGTTGGGCAAATTCGCAAAGTCGCAGCCCCCCGGCTGCTGCTCCTGCATGCGAATCTGCGCAAGTTCTATGGCCACAGCCCCCAGCATTTTGCTGCAGGTGCTGCCCAGGCTTGTGACTCCAGAGACAATGGCGTAGACTGTGGCTTCGAGTCTCGCGGGACAGCTTCTTGCAATAGTCAGAGAACTTGTCATGCAAGCCAGAGTCAGCAGCAAGTGATAGACAATTGAGTCTCCCAATAAGAACATGAGCTTGTCAGGAATCCCCAGCAGCAAGTTCAGTCTCCTCACCATCACATAGTCAAAAAGAGCTGCAGCAATTCGGACAGAATTAGTCAACCAAAAGATCTTGTGAGCACTCCAGGACTTGAGCCATTTTTGGAAAGCGAAAATCCCCACCCAGCAGCCAATGGCGCCCACCAGCGCGGTGTACGTACAGAAGTAAGTGTAGTCGAACTGGGGACCCGAAGGGACACAAGAAGGGGGGGCAATGTAAAAGAAGTTAACTGCTCCGGAGATGGTGAGGTGGAGGACTCTGTCTGCGAAGAAGAAGAGGGCGCAGAGCGCGAGTTGCTGCTGCAGCAGCAGCAGCGCAGCAGACCCCAGCAGCAGCAGCACGAAGCAGGTGAAGACCAGGGCCCAGCCTTTCCAGGGCTGGAGGGTCAAGACCAGCCCCACGCATGCGCAGAAGGAAGTTAGAGCAGCAACAATAAAGACTCCGCGGCGGGAGCGGACTCCGGCGATGGGTGCTGCTGCTGCTGCTGCGCTGCAGCTGCTGCTGCTGCTGCTGCAGCAGCAGCAGCAGCGCGGCGCCGCGGGGTCCGCCCGCGGCTCCCCGAGGAAGTTGAGGGAAATCGGCAGCAAAGTCTGCAGCACCAGCGGGACTGTCATGCAGAGAAGAGGCTTAGTCCCGTATTTGTCACTAATAGGCCCCACAAGAGTTTTTCCAACAAGGTGGCCCATGGAGTTGCAAAAAGACAAAAAAGCCACAAGTTTTGCTCCTATTTGGGGTTTAGATCTCACTAACTTGCAATAAACTCCTTCGCAAAGCAGGTCTGCTGTGGCGATGTGGAGGTGGATCCCGCAGAAGAGCAGCCCCACGTAGACGATGCTGCTGCGCTGCAGCTGCTGCGGCAGCAGCAGCAGCGCAGCAGCGCAGCAAAGGCCCACCACGTTCGCCAGCAGCATGTAGTGCTTTTTGTGGAAGCCCCCGAGCGGCCAGGAGTCGGAGACAGAGCCAATAAAGCCTTTTAAGGCGTAAGGAGTCAAAGCTATTGCCAAAGTCCGTTGATAAGCCACTCCGTCAAAGCCCAACTCCCGGAAAAGAGGCAGCAAACTCTCCAGAGTCACGGAGTCCAATAGTCCTTTAAGTCCGAAGAAGACACTCAGCAGCATGAGGCAGAGCCGCAGGCCCAGGGTTTCGTAGAGACTCCGCACGAACTGCAGCAGACGCAGCGGAGATAACGCGCAGCCTGGAGCCGAACCCATCCTGCTGCTGCTGCTGCTGCTGCTGCTGCTGCTGCGGGGGGGAGGGGGAGGCAGCGGCGCTGCGGAGCGTCAGGTCATCTTGGGAGCCGCGGGAACAGCAGCAGCAGCAGCAGCAGCAGCGGGGGGAGAAGGGGGAGAAGGGGCGGGGGGGAGAGGAGAAAAGGGAAGAAAGAGGAGGCGGAGAAAGGCCAGAGGGAGGGAAAGAATGGGAACGGGGAACGCAGCAGCACCAGCAGCAGCAGCAGCAGCAGCAGCAGCAGCAGCAGCAGCGGGAGCGGGAGCGGGAGGTGCGGGGGTGCACTAGTTCTCTCGCGAGGAAACCCACAAAGAAAAAAAGAAAAGAGAAGAGACCCCAACCTTCGCCGAGAACCCAACACCTGTGGGGCCAGCCGGCTGCTGCTGGGGCCGCCGCCCCGCGCCCCTCAGCAGCAGCAGCAGCAGCAGCGCAGCAGCAGCAGCAGCAGCAGCAGCAGCGGGAGGCGCCGCCCCGCACACGCGCTGCGGAGAAACACACCGGTCTTTTAGTTCTTTTCTCCTTTTTTATTATTATTTCCCTCTTTTTAAACTCCATTCGCCGATGTGTTGCTGCGGAACGCAGCAGCAGACCGCGCAGCCCGCTGTCCATACACCTCAGCAGCGCGGGCCCGCGCCGCGGCCGCTGCGGTGTACGTACAGGCAGCTCCTCCGCTGCCTGTACACCGCAAGCCAGCGGCACTTCTTCTTTCTTTTACTTCTTTTCTTTTCGTTTTATTTCTCTTTCCTTTTATTCTTTTTAATCCATTTCTCCGCTTCAGCGCGCCGAACCGCCCCAAGCCCCCGCGGCCTCCGCCGCCCCGCCGCGCATGCGCTGCAGCAGCTAGCAGCAGCAGCGGGGCGCAGCAGCAGCAGCAACTTGCTGCTGCTGCACTTGCTGCTGCACATTTTAGAACTCTGCAGCAAATCAAACCCCACTTTATTCCGCATGCAGCCCCACGGGGCCTTTGCTGCTGAAGAAAGACACAAACCCACTTCGCTGCGAAAACCCAGAAACTGCTGCAGCAGCAAGTCTGCTGCAGCAGCAAGTCTGCTGCAGCAGCACACACAGGCGCAACCTGCAGCAGCAAGTGCTGCCTCCTGCTGCTGCGGGCTCCCCAACAGCAGCAGCAAACCAACCGATAGAAGCAGCTAAGCAGCAGCAAAGCTGTGCCACAATCCGAACCTCCTCCACAAGCTGCTGCTGCTGCTGCTGCCCCCACTTTTGCTCTTGCTGTTCCTAGTGCTGCCCTTGCTGCTGGTGCCCTTGCTGCTGCTGCTGCTGCTGCTGCTGCTGCTGCTGAGGCGCAGCTGAAGAGCTGCCCAAAGCCTTGCTGCAGGAAGGATACGAGAGCAGCAAAAGGGGCCCAACACTCTCTCCTTTAGTCTCCTTTCTTTTTGTCTCCTTGTCTTTAGAGTGTCTCTTTAAAGACAGCAGCAGCACGTGCTGCTGCTGCTGCTGCTGCTGCTGCTGCTGCTGCTGCTGCAACAGTTCAAAAGCGTCAGCCAAGCGCCAACGAGAAACGCGCCCGCGCCTCCCTTTGACGCCTGCAGCTGCTGGTGCTGCTGCTGCCCAATAGAGCACTGCTGCTGCTGCTGCTGCCCAATAGAACGCTGCTGCTGCTGCTGCTGCTGCTGCTGCTTACAGCCTTTGGCAGCGTCGCAAAGCGCCCCAGGCTGCCTCCAGCGCTGCCTGCAGGGCTGCTGCTGCTGCAGACCTTCTGCTGCTGCAGACCTGCTGCTGCAGACCTTCTGCTGCTGCAGACCTGCTGCTGCAGACCTGCTGCTGCAGACCTTCTGCTGCTGCAACAAATGCTTTGCTTCGCTGTTGCTGCTGCTGCTGTAGTACTGCCATACTTGCCGTTGCCGTTGGCTTTTAAGTGCTGCTGCTGTAGAGCTGCTGCTGTTGTAAGCGGCTGCTGCTGCTCCTGCTGCTGCAGAAAGGGCTGCTGGCCCTGCAGCAGCTGCTGCAGGGCCACAGAAATCTTGACCACTGGTCTACTTATCTCGCGCTGCTGTCAAGCAGCAGCAGCAACAGCAGCAAGCTGCTGCAGCAGCAAGCAGCAGCAAGCAACAAGCAGCAGCAGCAGCAAGAGGCATCAACAAGGAGCTCCGGCCCTCAAATGTTACGTTGCTGCTGCCGCATTAAAGATAGCTGCCGCGGTAACACATAGCTGCTGCCGCTGCTGCTGCTGCTGCTGCTGCAGCTGCTGCTGCTGCGGCAGCAGCTGCAGAGAGCCCCGGCGCCCCGCTGGGCTTCCTGCTGCTTCTAGTTGAGGCAGCAGCAGCATCTAAAGACGCCTCCACTGAGGTGACTTTGCTGCATTGCAGCTGCTGCTGCAGCTGCTGCAGCTGCCTGCTCAGGTGTCTTCAGGTGTCTATACAGCTGGGGCGAGCAGCAAAGAGCTCAGGAGACACCTGACACCCCACAGCCTTTTGGGACAAGTTTGAAAACAGAGAATAAATAATCTTTTTGACATAATTTGGGGGAAACTGAAAGCTGCAGCAGCAGCAGCTGCAGCAGCAGCAGCAGCAGCAGCTGCAGCAGCAGCAAAGAGCGGCAGCCGCAGCCCCCGTAGCTACAGCAGCAAGGAGCGATATCAGCAGCCCCGAGAGCTGCAGCAGCAAAGCAAGCCAGCAGCTGCCTCAGCAGCAGCAGCAGCAGCAGCAGCAGCAGCAGCAAAGAGCGGCAACAAAAGGAAACTGCTGCTGCTGATCGCTAGATCTCTAGCGAGGCCCTCTCCGCAAACACTAATTTAGGGTTTAGGGTTTACAGTTTAAGCTCAAGACGTTCAGCTGTCCGTACACTCCAGCAACTTGCCAAGTTCTGTTGCGGAAAAATGTAGTGCGGCGCAGCAGCAGCAAAAGCTGCTGCTGCTGCTGCTGCTTTTCGCGCTGCTGCTGCAGTTGCTGTTTCAGCTGCTGCTGCTGGTCGTGCTGCTGTTCACGATGTCTAGTGAGCAGCAGCAACAGCAGCAAAGCTGCAGCAACAGCAGCAAAGCAGCAGCAACAGAAGCACCGCAAAAAACTGCACCAGTGAAGGGAGCTGCAGCAGCAGCAAAAGCTGCAGCAGCAGCAAAAGCTGCAGCAGCAGCAAAAGCTGCAGCAGCAGCAAAAGCTGCAGCAGCAGCATCAGGAAGGGCTTCGGCTTTGGGCGAGGGAATGGGAAGGCCGGCAGCAGCGACACCGCACGCGCCTGCAGAGCAAACCCTAAACCCTAAACCCTAAACCCTAAACCCTAAACCCTAATTTGGAAACCCTGACGCCCGCAGCTGAATCGCCGCAGGCCCCCCAGCAAAAGCAAGAAGAAGCAACACCAAATTAAATTCGCCATTTCAGACATCTTGATCTGAATGCGCATTAAAACCCCAAACCCTAAACCCTAAACCCTAAACCCTAAACCCTTACAGCAGTTCCAAGTCCCCTTCTTCGCTGTCGTCCGCAGCTCTTAAAAGACATTTCGAAACTCTATTTGCTGCTGCCCACCGGGGGGCCCCCGAGCGCAGCGACGAGACCATCAAAACCCTAAACCCTCACACGCAAACCCTAAACCCTAAACCCTAAACCCTAAACCCTAAACCCTAAACCCTAAACGCTAAACCCTAAACCCTCGTGGGCGGACCGGCCCCCAAACCCTAAGCCTTGGGGGCCAAGACTGCGCGGCAAGAAGCCGCAGCGCGCCCATCAAACCCTAAACCCTAAACCCTAAACCCTCGATCACACGACCACCCCTAGGGTTTAGGGTTTAGGGTTTGGACTTTTCGAGACTTACACAAAGTCCGTTTGGTGCTCAGCAGCAAACCGCAGCTGCTGAGGAGAGAGGCAAAACTCCCAGGTGTCCTGCAGAAGCACACAGGTGCTGCTGCTGCTGCTGCTGCTGCTGCTGCTGCTGCTGCTTTTCTCACTAGTCGTGCTGCTGCAGCACGAGCTGCTGCAGCAGCTCCTGCTGCAGTTTATGGCGAGGGTTTTCAGGTAGGGTTTAGAGTGGGGGGGCGAACGAGGGTTTAGAAAAGGGTTTGAGATTAGGGTTTATGGCTAGGGTTTGTGGCTAGGGTTTACAGCTAGGGCTTGCAACGAGGGTTTGTGGCTAGGGTTTATAACTGGGGTTTGAGATGAGGGTTTGCGGCTAGGGTTTACAGCTAGGGTTTGCGATTAGGGTTTGTGCTAGGGTTTACAACTCGGGCTTGGAATTAGGGTTTTGCGCTTACAAGGACAGAGGCCTTGACCTCTATAAAGAGCTGCTGCTCTTTGCTGCTGCTGCTGCTGCTGCTGCTGCTGCTGCTCTCTTTAAACTTCAGCAGCAAATCAAACGGAAGTCCAGTTTCTTGTTCACCATTCAACCAGATGCAAGTGACTTCTGTTGCTGCCGCTGCTGCTGCTGCTGCTGACCCAACTTCTGCTGCTGCTCCATCTGCTGCTGCTGCTGCTGCTGCTGCAGCGGGGGATTCGCTGGAAACTGACCAGGTGGTGGTTCCTTCCTGTTCTAGGCAGCAAAACAGCAGCAACAGCAGCAGCACTGCGAGCAGCAGCTGCAGCAGCAGCAACAAAGGAGCCACAGAAGCAGCACTGAGAGCAGCAGCAACAGAACAGCAGCAGCAGCACCAGTCTGCACTGCTAGACAAAGAACGACAGCAGCAGCAGCAGCATCTCCAGCAGCAGAAACGCCGGCAGCAATACCCGCAGCAGCGGCAGCACTACCAACAGCAGCAGCAGCAGCAGCGCTACCAGCAGCAGGCCTAACAGCAGCAGCAGCATTAGCAGCAGCAGCTGTAGAAGCATCAGCAGCAGCAGCACATTAGCAGCGGCTGCAGCACTAGCGGCAGCAGCAGCACCTGCAGCCGCATCAACAGCAGCAGGAGAAAGGTTGCATCTGCAGTACTAGCAGCAGCAGCAACAAACAGCAGCAGCTGCACAAGCAACAAATAGCAGCAGCAGCGCTAGCAGCAGCAGCAACAGCACCACCTGCGCTAGCAGCCGCATCAGCAACAGCACCAGTACCGCTAGCAGCAGCAGCACCACTGACGGCAGAAGCACTAGCAGCAGCAGCAGCAGCACTAGCAGCAGCAGCACGAGCGGCAGCAGCACTAGCAGCAGCAGCACGAGCGGCAGCAGCACTAGCAGCAGCAGCACGAGCAGCAGCAGCAGGAGCAGCAGCAACACGAGCAGCAGCAACACGAGCAGCAGCGGCACGAGCAGCAGCAGCACGAGCAGCAGCAACACGAGCAGCAGCAACACGAGCAGCAGCAGCAGCAGCAGCAGCAGCAGGCTCACCTGTACAATGTTTTGCAGCTTAAACCCAAAGTGCTTGCAAACTTCCTGAGGGACGATCTTAGTGAAGGCCAGCAGCTCCCCCAGCCTGAGACAAAAAGCGAGGGTTTAGGGTTTAGGGTTTAGGGTTTAGGGTTTGGCTTCGCAGCCGCTAGGGGCTTTCCAGACGAAGCCGCTCGGCAGTGACCACCGCAGCAGCAGCAGCAGCAGCAGCAGCAGCAGCAAACTCGCCAAAAGGGACAGCAGCAACGGCAACAGCAGCAGGAACAACAGCAGAAGCAGCAACATGAACAACAGCACGAGCAACAGCAGCAGCAGCAAGAGCAGCAACCACAGCAGCAGCAGCAGCAGCAGCAGCAGCAGCTGCTGCTACTGCAGCAAGTGCAGCTAACCTGCCTGCCTGCATGCGCCTGTCGACAAAATCCGGCAGGCTCTTCAGACATGCTGGAAGAAAATGCAAATTCGAGAAAAGCCCTGGCTTGCTGCTGCTGCTGTTGCTGCTGCTGTTGCTGCTGCTGCTGCTGCTGTTGCTGCTGCTGCTGCTGCTGCTGCCGCTGCTTGGGGGTTTGGCAACTTGGCGCAGGACTTCAGCAGCAACTCGATGCCTCACGCTCTCTGGCGAGAATAGCGCGAGCTCATCTTCCTCCTCCTGCTGCTGCTGCTGCTGCTGTTGCTGCTGCTGCTGTTGCTGCTGCTGCTGCTGCTGCTGCTGTTGCTGCTGCTGCTGCTGTTGCTGTTCCCGCAGCATCGCTTGTGTCGCTGCCTTGGGCGCAGCAGCAGACAGCTCCGCCGCCCTGGGAGGCTCCCCCGCTGCTGCTCTTTCACTGCTGCTGCTGCTGCTGCTGCTGCTGCTGCTGCTGCTGCTGCTGCTGCTGCTGGTTTGCTGCTGCAGTATGCAGAAAGCTGGGAGAGGCGCTGCTGCTGCAGCGTCTCTACAGCCGTCCACTTCCATCACTTCAAGAGCAGCAAAATGGCGCTGCATTTCTTCTGCTTCAGTTTTGCTGAGGACAACCTCTCCTGCTGCTGCGCTGCTGCTGCTGCAGAACAAAGTGCTGCTTCTGCTGCTGCTGCTGCTGCTGCTGCTGCTGCTGCTGGGCGGCTGCGGGGTTTCTTCCTGCTGCTGCTCCTCCAGCAGCTCCGCTGCTGCTGCAGCAAGACCCTGAAACCGCAGCAGCAGCAGCTGCTGCTGCAGGCTGCTCCCTACCAGCACGCGCAGCCACTTTGCTGCGTAGAGGCCCATAGAGCAGCAGCAGCTGCTGCTGCTGCTGCTGCTGCTGCTGGCAGCAAAGACCACGTGGTTGTGCAGCAAGAACGCCACCGGAAATGCGAGTTCTGCCGCAATCGCTTCTCTTGCTGCTGCTGCCTCTTCAGCAGCAGCAGCAGCAGCCGTGGGCTTGCAGTCTGCTGCTGCTGCTGCTGCTGCGCTGACAAGAAGACACAGCTCACGAGCAGCAAGCAGAGCAGCACCGCGCCACTTCCACTGCAGCAGGTGCCACTGACGCTGCTGCTGCTGCTGCTGCTGCTGCTGCTGTTGCTGCTGCTGCTGCTGCTGTTGCTGCTTCTGCTGCTGCTGTTGCTGCTTCTGCTGCTGCTGTTGCTGCTTCTTCTGCTGCTGTTGCTGCTTCTGCTGCTGCTGTTGCTGCTTCTGCTGCTGCTGTTGCTGGTTCTGCTGCTGCTGTTGCTGCTGCTGCTGCTGCTGCTGCTGCCACTCCCTGGCTTCATCTGCAGGCAGCAGCAGCGCATGCACTTGCTGCGCCCCTTCTGGCTTCGGGGCTGCTGACAGCAGCACAGCAGCAACGGGCTGTACGTACACCCGACGCAGCAGCGCAGCAGCAGCAGCAGCTGCTGCTGCTTGCTGCTGCACTGACACAAAACAAGGGGAGCTGCAGCCACAGATGCACCCCGCGCTGCTGCTGCTGCTGCATGGCGACCGCGCGACCCGGTACCGCTGCTGCTGCTGCTGCTGCTGCTGCTGCAGCTCCTGCTGCAGCAGCAGCTCTAAACTCTTTGCAACTCCACCTAGCAGCGAACCCCGCAGCCTGGTGTCCGCAGCAGCAGCAGCAGCAGCAGCAGATCCCCAAGAGACGCACACCCATTTGTCTGTGTGCAAGCTGCGCTGCTGCTGCTGCTGCTGCAGCTTCTGCTGCTGCAGCTTCTGCTGCTGCAGCTTCTGCTGCTGCAGCTTCTGCTGCTGCATATTGGAAGCTTTGCTGCTGCACAACCGCCAGCTTCATAAGGAAAAAGCTCCACAGCCGCCTGCTGCTGCTGCTGTTGCTGCTGCTGCTGCTGCTGGTATTGCTGCTGTAGCTCCTACCTCTGCTGTTGCCGCTGCTGTGGCTGCTGCAGCAACGGCAGCTCCATCTGCTGCTGTTGCTGCTGCTCCAGCAGCTGCTGCTGCTTTTGCTGCTGCTTTTACTGCTGCTGTTGCCGCCGCAGCAGCAGCAGCTCCCGCTGCTGCAGCAGCAGCAGCTGCTGCTGCTGCTGCTGCCGCTACTACTTCCTCCACAGATCTGGTACTTTCGGCGGGACCCCTCGTAAGCAGGAGAGGTGGCAAAAATATGAAGACAAAACCCTAAACCCTAAACCCTCAAGAAGGAGTGTTCCCAGCCTCAGGCAAGCCAGAATGATGCTAGTGGCTGGGGTTTAGGGTTTAGGGTTTAGGGTTTAGGGTTTGGGGTTTGGGGGCTGGAACTGGCGTCCTTTCCCAGGGCTTGAGCTGCCAAGAGCGTTAATACACGTTTGGGGCCTATGCTTTATGACTTAGGGTTTAGGGTTTAGGGTTTAGGGTTTAGGGTTTAGGCGTTCTCTTAGCAGCGGCTGAGAGGTAGATGCGCGCCTAGGTGGTTATTGAAAAGCTAGGGTTTAGGGTTTAGGGTTTGAGTTTTGAGTACGGAGTGTAGGGCTTACGGTTTAGAGCTTAGGGTTTAGGGTTTAGGGTTTAGGGTTTAGGGTTTAGGGTTTGCCAACCAGCCCCAGCGCAGGCCCAGTGGCCCCTCGCCCGCCCTTGGCGGGGGTCTCTTGTGTGTCTGCTGCTGCTGCTGCTGCTGCTGTGCAGCAGCAGCAGCAGCAGCAGCAGCAGCAGCTTTATAATTTGTTCATTTTGAATCAATTTTATTAATTTAGGTGTGTTTAGTTGTACGCACGGCTCGCCTCGCCCGTCCTTAGGGTTTAGGGTTTAGGGTTTAGGGTTTCGCGCACTTTGGCTTTGTGAAAACCCCGTAAGCCGCCTGTCTTTCATCCTCTTCGCAGCAAACGCTAAACCCTAACTCATAAACCCTAGACTCCAAACCCTAAACCCTAAACCCTAGCTGCGCACGGAGGCGCTCTCTTCCCCACTCAAACCCTCGGGCGACTGCACAGGGCCCTGCATGCACTGCGGCTCACTAGGGTTTAGGGTTTAGGGTTTAGGGTTTAGGGTTTAGGGTTTGGGGTTTGGGGCGAAGGCCTAACAGTTAAGGGCCCCACACGGCGGTATCGAGAGGCGAATGCACGGAGAGGGAGGCCTGCGTTAGAGGCCCCGAGGGTTTAGGGTTTAGGGTTTAGGGTTTAGGGTTTGGGATGTCTGCGCAGTTCAGAGAAGATGAACATCGCCACCGACGAATTCGGAAACCCTTTTATCATCCTGCGGGAGCAGGAGGAGAAGAAGCGGCTGAAGGGGATCGAGGCCCACAAGGCGAGGGTTTAGGGTTTAGGGTTTAGGGTTTAGGGTTTAGGGTTTGGGGCGTCCCGGCTCTGCGTTTCCGCAGCAGCCCTTCCACTCCCCAGCACCAAGAGTCCCCTTCAGCCGCTGCTTTTGGAGCCTGCGCACAGGCCCTGGCCTGGGGCTTAGGGTTTAGGGTTTAGGGTTTAGGGTTTAGGGTTTAGGGTTTAGGGTTTTGCAGGCCAACATTGTTGCTGCCAAGGCCGTGGCGGACTCCCTGCGCTCTTCCCTCGGCCCTAAAGGAATGGACAAAATCATTGTGGGGCCCGACGGGGAAATAACAGTGACAAATGACGGGGCCACTATTTTGGACAAGATGCAGGTCCCAAACCCTAAACCCTAAACCCTAAACCCTAAACCCTAAACCCTAGGCCGTAGGTCGTGCGCGCGGGGCCTGCGCGCCGCGCCCGGGCCCGCGCCAAACCCTCGCGCAAACCCTCGGCAGCTGCGCCCCTGCGCAGCGACAGCGGGAAGGGGAGGGTTTAGGGTTTAGGGTTTAGGGTTTAGGGTTTAGGGTTTAGGGTTTGGCTCGCAGGTGAAGCACCAGTGCGCCAAGCTGCTAGTGGACCTCTCGCGAGCTCAAGATGCAGAAATTGGAGACGGCACGACGGGCGTCGTTATCTTGGCCGGTGGGCCGAGGGTTTAGGGTTTAGGGTTTAGGGTTTAGGGTTTAGGGTGTAGGGTTTAGGAGTTGTTGCTGATTTTTTGCTGCATCTTTATTCAGCTCTTTGGTTTTTCCGTTCATTGATTGTTCGGCTGCTGCTGCCCCCTTTCGCCTAGGCTCTACCACTAAACAAAAGCCCAAATAATTTGCTGCTGCTGCTGCTGCTGCTGCTGCTGCTGCTGCTGCTGCTGCTGCTGCTGCTGCCTCCTCCCCTCTGCGACTTGCGCGGCTGCCACTTCCGCCTCCGCCGCCCTGCCGCCGCCGCCGCCGCCGCCGCCGCCGCCGCCGCCGCTGCTGCTGCTGCTGCTGCTGCTGCTGCTGCTGCTGCTGCTGCTGCTGCTGCTGCAGGGAACTTGCTGTCGGAGGCGCTGCGGCTGATGGAGAAGGGTTTGCATCCGCTGCGGATTGCCGACGGCTTCGAAGCTGCTGCGCAAATCGCAGTCGAAACCCTCGAGAAGATTGCCCTCGAAAAAGACCTCCTGGGCAGCGACAAACACATCTTGTCAGCTGCTGCTGTTGCTGCTGCTGCTGCTGCTGCTGCTGCTGCTGCTGCTGCTGCTGCTGCTGCTGCTGCTGC